TAAATACAGACTTATTTCTAATACTGAACCAAAATTTACAGATGTTTGTTTTTATGAAGGTCAGTGAAAATGTGTATTTAAGCCAGCCAAACTGTCACTCATGAGGTAATGAAGGTTGTTACCCGGGGGGGAATTTGAGCCCTCTTGAACTGACTCAATGATGCCCATGGCCTTTTGTTCTCCAATTCTCCAGATAAAATAAACATTGCTCCACACATTACTGCAGAGAACCCTGTAGATAAGCATTTCCCAGCACTAATGCATTGATCTAAGGACAACCTGTCCTCTGTTAAATTCAATTTTTGAATCAGGCTCAACGGATACATCCTTCGAAAGATGCTGCCCCTTCCTTCCTCCTTTCAGACGTCTCTCTAGAGGCATTAGTTGCTCTTTGCTTTGCCACAGCCAGACAGCCCTAACACTAACACCGAGGCCCTGGAGAATGAAGTGCAGCAGATTTTTCATGAGTGTGTTGCTCGGGCTGGTGTGTTGGGCTTGTGATGAGGGGTCAGCTACAGTGCAAGTTTTTTTTATAATCCAGGTGAGAGAATACAAGTTCTTTGGTTCTGTGGTCGTGGTGGTGGCTGACTCTCCCTTAGCGTTGCGGTGCAAGACAAGTACAGAGTGAAATGCGCGCTGAAGCATCACTATCTTTATGAAACCAGACGCGCCGAAGGATTTCTCTGATAGGGCTATTCTAACTTGTACAGACATGGATGTTTACTTATTATGGGCAGATTAATTCTGAAATATGAATTGTTTAAGTCAATATTAGCTGCAAACCTAAGATTTGAAATATGATGTGGGATTTCAGACTGTAAGCTTTAAATAGAAATCTGATTCTTTGATCTGTATGTAAATGACAAGATTTTAATTTCATATCATGTACATAGTGGAAGAAAAAAAAAGTTTCTCTCACTAAATTCTGATCCACACCAACTGAAGCATGTCTTGTACACTGATGAGAAGATTAAGAGTGAAATTTCAAAGCAGAACCAGGAAAGTTGGGAGGGCTTTGTTTTGATGTGTTGGTTTATTGAGGAATTTTATTGCAATTTTTCCATATTTGGCCTGCTGAACCACAATCTGAAACAATCAAGCAAAAAGTTGCCAATCCTATTTCTGGCCAGTTAATTATTACATGTGTAATGCATTATTGCTTTACTTTTATGTGGGACAATCATGAAAAAAGATTTTTGGAGTATTTTTTTAGAGTTACTTGATTTCTTTTGAGTGTAAAGAATTAAATTGTTTTTTTTTTGTTTTGTTTTTTAAATAAAACATTAAAACACAAAATTGTATGATAAAGAAAACACAGATGATGCATTTATTGAACAATATCTAGAAATCTTTGCAGTCAATTATTTATTTATTGCAACCTTTGCTTTTGCAACAACTTTCCTTAAAAATAAATCTTTTTAGCTTGGATTTCAGTCAACTTTAGTTGTGCTGTCTTGGTTTTTATCTACTTCATTCAACTTCCTTTTATTTATTTGTTTAATGCAATTATTTTTCTATTTCAGCCATGATGCCTTAGAGTTATTTATAATTTTATTTTAATTTCAGTGACACTATTTTTTAGATTCGATCATTTACATTCAATTCTTGTGTTTATATTTTAGCATTCATCGGTTGTGACTGCGATTTTCCTCTTGTATACTAAATATAACATCTTATTACAGTTGTCAAGAATTATTTTAGTTTCTTAGCTTGACATACATTTGTGTGTTTACTGTTTCTGAGTTTAGTCATTTATTTGAACTTGTGCAAAGCAGATGAGCTTTCATTTAATTATGTGAAAAGTGTCTGAATAGTTGACATTATTCTTTCATGTGTGTGATGAACTGTCTACAGTCCTGATATTAGAATAATGTAACAATCCATGCAGTCACCTCTGTTTAAGATGAGGAATGAGAGCACTGCAGCAGGGGAGGTGAGCTATTAATAGAGAATTGCCCAGGGGCGCTCAGAAGTCTTTGGCCAGCCTTGAAAAACTCATGCACACTTGTACAGTTGTGTATCCATGACAGAGGGCATCACAATGACTCACATCCATTTCCAGGAGTCTGAAACTTAAATTATACTTCTGTGCTAACAACCAGCTCAGGCATGCTGCAGCCTATGCAATGCAAATAAACCAAGTGCCTGCATCAAGCGGTCACAGCATCAGACTGCTACATGGATGGAAATGTATTTCCCTTTGCATGACAAAAGGAAAGAAAGATTTGCTTTGGATAGAAACAAAAGAAATGCATAAAAGAGATGTCAGAATAAAAATAATGCTAATAAGCTAGCTGGCTCGGATGACAGGCTTAAGTATAAAAACCAGGGTCAACCCGAAAAAGAAATCTAAATGTTGTGTTTTGATCAAACAAATCTTTAGACATTTTGTAACAGACTTCAATGTATTTGATTGTTCAATGTGATAGACACACACAGTGCAGTCAATGTTTGTGGGAACAAAGCTTGCATGGTACAAATAGTTTAGGCATAGAAAGATTGAGTAGAGTGTGTCTGAACAGCAACATTCAGGTCTTTCCACTAATGAATTTAGGTCTGGAGTTCCTGAACTAATTTAACAGCTGAACATGCTTTGATCTAAACAGCTGAAGCTCAAACTACTTTTATGGTTGTTGTCCTGCTGGAAGGAAGACCTTCACCCTAGTCTTAATTATTTTGTAGAATTTAATCCAGAATTATTCTATAACTAGTCCATTTCAGCTTCCCATAAACTCTGACCAGCATCACCATCACCATCACAGGGATGGTTTATTTAGGGTGATGTGTAGTGTTCGTTTTCAAAAAAAGTTCAGTTTTGACCTCATCTGAACAGTTCACATTCTTTTACATGTTGACTGTGACAAACTTCAAATGGGATTTTGTGATTTTCTTTCAAAAAATGGATTCTTGCTCATGTTATTTTTTTTCATAAAGATAAGATCTGAAGTTCCCACCTGAACTGTGAATCTTAGATGCTCTACGCTGTTTCTATTTTAAGATAATGTGTTGAACAGAGCTCCATGACATGTTCAAAGCTTGGGATATTTTTTTATTGCCAACTGGGCTATAAGCGTACCTAGAACTTTCTCCCGAGCTGTTTGATGAGCTCCTTCATCTTCGATGCAGTTTGTTCACTAATATTATCTAACAAGCCTCTGACACCTTCACAGAACAGCTCGATTTATACTAAGGCTAAGTTGCAAACAGATGGACTTTTTGTGGAATTAGGTGTGAGAGTAAAGAGGGATGACTACAAGTATATGCCATACTTTCAAGATTCTTACTTTTAAAATGTTTAAAACATCGACCACGACCTATCACAATAAAAACTAACAAAGCATTAGAGTTTGAGGTTGTAAAATGTGACAAAGATGAACTAAGTACAATCTATAAGGATATGACTTTAAGCTAAAATTAATTAAGAATACATGAGATTTTCGGTTGTTGACTGTGGCAATGTGACGCAAATGTGTCAAATTTCTCTTTCTCTCTTGACTGGAAATGGCAGAATATATATAGCTCTAGAAGAAATTAAGAAAGCGTTTAAAATGATCGGTTTCCTTCATAGGATATGTTTGAGTAACATAAACATTGTTTTCCTACTCCATGAACTACTTACAACATGTCTCCAAAATTTCAAACAAAAATTAAGTATTTATTTGCAGAAAGTGAGAAATGGTCCAAATAATGAAAAAGATGCACTGTTTTCCAAACTCAAATAATGCAAAGAAAACAAGTTCGTATCCTTTTAAAAATAATACTAATGTAACTCAGGAAGAGTTCAGAAATCAAGTTGGTGGAATAACCATGAGGTTTTCAATTGAGTTCAGTGCAGTGGGCTCTTAATTTTATTCAGAGCTGTATATTTGTGTTGCTGGAACTGTATTTGTAATGAGGATGAATCTAATGACATCCTGCTTTGCTTGCAGTTATTTAATTTATTGAGTTTGGGATGCAAGTGTGGGCTTATGTATTCTTAGTGTAAGGTGAAAAAACACCTTAATAAAATGAATACATGTATCTTCCAGACTTAGAAGATGTACAAGAAAGCATGTGAGATTTGTGACTGTTACTAAATTAAAAGATAATTTTGCTTTTTAAATGCATCATGCTTCTGTAAACGTTGTAATTTGATTCAGTAAAGTAATTGCAGCACCAACAAAATCAGAAAATGTACTCCACACAGAGCAATAGAGCTTTGTGTACACTGAAAAAAATAAGTCATTGGATGAACATAAAAAAATTATGGAAAGGATTTCCACCTGATTACTTTGCTTTATTTCAGCACCATGTACTTGTGTTACTCCTATTTAAAGCAAATGTGTTAGGTCAACCTAATTTATTAAGATTATTCCAATGTAAAGCAAATGTGTTGGCTCCACTTGTTACAATGGTGATTCAATGGGTGATTCTAAATCAAACATGTTGGCTCAACGTAATATATTGTGGTTATTCTTATATAAATAAAATGAGTTGGCAAAACATAATTCATTAAGGTTGTTCTAATTTAAACCAAATATGTTGGCTTAACCAGAATTATGGTAAGGCAATGGATGATTGTAAATCAAATGAGTTGGCTCAACTCCATTCATTAAGGTTATTCAAATTCAAATGAAATGTGTTGGCTCAACATATGTTTTAAAGGTTCCTTTAACTCAGTTACTATAGCATGACCCAGTGTAATGCAATACAGCCAGCCCAACTAATCTGCAATGTTTAGGACCAAATCATTGATGTAACTTCATTAAGATGAATGTAAATCTAGTTGAAACCACCTTATTTTACAGTGGTACCTTCACACTACCTGATTCAGTAGGTCCAACTCACTAAAAGCAAGTTAGCTCAACAAATATGCTTCATGCTAAAAGACAGCTAGTTAATCGTGTGGAAATCCTTTCCATTATTTTATGACGTTAATTCAAAGACATATTTTCAAGTGTTAATCAAGCATTTTAAGATAGCACTAGGTGAAAGTGTAGGAAGAACACTCAACAATTAGAAAAGGTACAACACAATTGTATTTTCAGAATTGTTATACATCGTTTTTTTACACAGCACAAAACACAGCTGAGTTGGACATTGAAATAAAAAAACAACTACAAAAAGGTTACAGTTTCATTTCCCAGCCAATTCTTTACAACATAAAACATGTCAGTATAGTTGCTCAACTTAGAGAACTGTAACAATATAAATCTTTTCTACTGCAGACTTTAAACACTCATTTTCCATGTGAAACTTTGTTCAACTTAGCAGCGAGTTTCATATTGAGAACTTGTGCTTTCTTTGATAAGTTCTTTCCATCCAATTTCATTATTATTTTCTGTATTACTTCAAAGGTATGCTTGAGTTACTGAGCAAGTTGAGTGCTGAACGCACTAAACTTGAGGGTAGCTCAAGTTTAGTGCATAGATTAGTCCCAGCAGCATCACTATTGCAGAAGATACACTGCCCAAGCTGTTCATAACTTCCACCTCCTCCAGGACAATCCCAACATCCAGATGTGCATCGGCAGCCTCTGCACCCTCTGCTCAAATGACGATTCCGAGGACAGTCTCGGCTTTGGCCATTTCTGCGCATTCATCAACGTCCTAAGGGAGTTATGGAAGGGTATTGGGGGAGAGACAATTCACATGTAATTAAATAAATAAATTAAGACTGACATTGATTGAGTCACTCATGGACCTTAGTTGGTGAAAGTATTTTAACAACTCTTAGGAGTTCTATTGTAAACACAAAGAGAATTTAACATACCATGTACTCCCTCACCAGCTTCTCTGGATCTTCATTTAGGTACACACAGACCTTTGAGGATGCACTCTCATCTGACCTCAGCAGTGTCTTCCTAAATATGCAGATTAAAAAACAATGAGAACAATCTCAAAACTCCAGCAGTATAAGTTCACACACTTGAAAACATAGCTACATTCAAAGGAAGTGACAACAAAAGTGATCAGTGGCTTGCAGTCTATTTGAAAGATATTTAAAATTGTTAGTATCCCTTCATTATGCCATGACTAAAATGGAGTTTAACATCTCATTTAAACATCTAACTGAAGCTGTTAGAGGTTTAAATAAAGACATGAATATATCACCAAAGAAATATGTGAAAAGTACAGAATGGTCAACACAGTCTATATCCTTCTACTTAAATGAATATGCAAAGCATTCCATGTCTTACAAGTACATGGACAGTCTATGTGTGGGCATGGATAACGTCGCATATGCCGGTGTTTAAGTGTAAAATGTTTTAACAGGTCATATCTACGAGACAGAGAGAGACTACACTCCTTACATTTCCACATCCCCACGCAAATAAAGACAAATAAAACAGACTGGCCAAATAAATGTTTAGCTGAACTCTAGCTCTACAAGCTCTCTAACACTACATTCAGTCACTTTAGATCTGGCAAAACTTACTATTAGCCACTGAAATCTATAACTTGATAGCCGATGAGCCCTTGACCAGTACTTACGCAGGTGGATTACAGACAGGTGATGTTCTGAAAGAGATCAGATATATTTTCAGCCATTAAAATATGCAATTCATACTGAACTGAGTTGTATCTTTTAGTACAAGTCCCTTGAATGCCTCATGAATATAACCACTGGACACTTGTATGCAAGCACATATGTGCAGAACAATGGTGAATTGAACATGGTAGAAAGCAATAGTAACAAAGGTCAAAATGAGCACAAACAATCAACACAAAAAACATCAACATTTCAAAATTAAACCAATGAACTTCAATATTGTTTCTGAGCTACAATTATTTGGGGACAACAAAGAAGAGTCCAAAAAACCCCAACATCTTTACAGCAGAGGAATATGTATTTTAAAGAAAAAAATAGAAAGCTCAAGTCTGTAATAATGGATAATCCATTGAGAGTTTTAGCCTGACAAAATATACTAGAAATCCATAACTAACAGATATTTAAGGAACATTTAACAAAGCTCAGAAAGCAATGCTTTCTGCAGGTTTCACCGACTGAAATGTAGGACTTTTTATTACCATAATTAATTAAGAATCTCGATGATGATAGAAAGGTACCAAAGTGTGTGTGTGTATCTACATTTACCTCCATAGTAACATTACTGAAATAGAATTAAAATAGTTAGAAATAGACTGATGTTAGATCAGTGTGTTAAAAATCCACTAAACCTCCAGGGAGCTCAGGAGGAGCAAAACTGTGACATTTCCGGGGTCCATTTGTGTCTCTGGCAGCAGCTTTGTGACCCTTACACTACATATGGCTCTGCAGAGTTTTTTTCGCACAGAATGTACCTAACATGGTGCGGCGATAAATGTAAACAAAAAGCTATCTGCCTTAACCTAACCGACTTAATCTACAGAACATGAAATAATGTGACACAAGTATGGAACAAGTAGAAAATGGTGCAAATGGTAGAGAAATTTTAAGTTACATATTTTTATATGGATTTAGATGAAAATAGTTTGACTCTTACCTTCTTCAAATTAAGTAGATGAACGCCAGGAATCTCCCCTCTGCCCTTGAAAAAACCCAACAAGGTGCGAGCCAGTTATCTCGCGTGATTTTCCGTAATCTCTTGATGTCGCTGGATCCTCTTCAGCGGGAGATGAGTCTGACACAATAGCGCTTTGGAACTGACGTCACTGTGTTTTTTTTATTAGATTAACTTTGACAAATATTGATATTGAATAAAATAAATAAAAAAAACATATATATATATATATATATATGTTAAAAAAAAAAAAAAAATATATATATATATATATATATATATATATATATATATATATATATATATCTTGGCACAGCCAAGATACTGCGCAGGACCCTCAAGCTCCCAGGCCTCTGGTAGAGGCCTGGGAGCTTGAGGAATTAGATGTATTCAAGTTGAGATAACGTCATTCAATCACGTTAGTTCAGTTGAGAGAAAAAAACCGATTGTCTCGCGTGTTCTCGCGTGATATCCCGTGATCTCACTCGTTGTCGTCAGCACAATATCAGTCTAACTATAATGAATCATGTTAGCTCAACATGATTCAATTTTATAAATGTGAAGTCGTGGAATATCTTGTTTATCCAACATGATTTTATCACGTTTTCGCTTCAAACCCAACATTATTGTGTGAAAGGTACATGATATTTTTTTGTTAATGTAATACGCCCCGACGTTCTTTTTTTTTTGGCGGAAGATCTAGCTGACGTAATTGAATCACGTTATCTCACCTTGAATACATTTTATTCCATTTGCGAGAAAAAACCGATTGTCTCGCGTATTCTCGCGTGATATCCCGTGATTTCCCGTAATCTTGCGTGAACTTGCGTGATATCGCGTGATCTCACTCGTGGTCTTCAGCATAGGATCGGTCTGACTATAATGAATCATGTTCGCTCAACATGATTCAATTTTATAAACGTTGAAGTTGTGGAATATCTTGTTTATGCAACATGATTGTATCATGTTTTTGGCTCAAACATGCAATTATTTAGTTAACAGTACATGATATTCTTTTGTTAATGTGATAACCCCTGAGGTTCCTTTTTTACAGTGTACATGACTTGTAAATCATAAGCATTGTCTGTATCATTTATGTCAAAGGAAATTGAATTCCTTGCTCTGAAGCACACACTTCATAATAATTCACAGCAGAAAATCTGCAATACAGGTAATTGAAAATATATCAGTGAGTTCTTTGAAGAGTATTTTATGGTCTTGTTTAATCAGAGGCTTTGCTGTGCCTGTAAAAGTCTGGCCCAGAATGATACGGCTATAACAGCGTAGATGTAATTCGTCACATTCTTTTTTTGGGCCCTTTTTGAAACTGACAAAACTGCTGCGGTGGAAAAAAAAAACATCACAAATCCATTGGGTCTCTTTTTATAGAACATAAAAGTGAGTCTTAGGACTGATTTTTCAAACTGAGATATGAAAGAGAGAAACGACTTGTGTCAGTGCTTTGATCGAGCCATTTTGAGTAGCGTAACAAATTTGATGTGGATTCTCTGGGATAGGTTGATACTTTACATTCCCCAACCAAATGTAGCATAAATTTTTAAAAATTAAATGCAAAATTAAGTTTGGTAAAAAACAGGACAAAATGACTCAAAATGACTTAAATGTTCCAACACCAGGATATTAAGCGTATAAAAGCAACGACACCACAGGTGCCTCCTGGTTAATGTATTTCAATAATTCAGCTCAAAAAGGGAAACACGGATTTAGTGTGCACATCGATATATTAAAAACATTTATTTCTCAGATTTTGATGCTCATGGCTTACACATAATAAAAACCTAAAATTAATTTAGATCACAAAATTAGAATAACCCATAAGCTCTAATTTAAAAAGCTTTTTTATTAAAGAAATGTAAGCCTGTTGGAAGGTTTGTCCAGCCACTGTATGGTATATGCACTCAATACTTAATGTGACTACATTTTGCTTGAATTACTGCATCAATGCAGCATTGCATGGAGGCAATCAGCCTGTCACTCTGCTGAGGGCTTAAAGAAGCCGAAGTTGATTTAACAGCAGTCATCTGCATTGTTAGCTCTTCTTCTCTCACTACCTTTTGACAATACAGCTTCTCTTTGAGCTTAGGTCAAGTGGCTGTGCTGGTCAGTTCACCACAGCCATACCAGGGTCATTAAACAAGGTACTGGTAATTTTGGAAGCTGCCAAGTCTATCTGGAAAATTAAGTCACTTAAAAGTTTCTTGCAGATGCTTCACAGACTTTGGAGTTGGAAAAATAAGTGAACACCATCAGAAGACATGGGAGTCCAAATCACCACTGACTGTGATGATTCACTTTGGACCTCAGGCAACTTCCTCAGTACTCTGGGACTTTTATTCCAAAGGGAAATGCAAAATTTACCTTCATGTGAAAGGAGGAGTTTGGACCACTGGACCATATGGTTCCTTTTTTCCTTAGTCAAGGAAACCCTGGTTCTATCAATCTAGAATCTGATGGTTCTGGATTGACGGTTGTCCTGTCTGTCTGTCCTGTGCATGGAGGCCCATAAAGCTATTAAAGCTTGTAATTCTACTCAAACTCTTGAGGATTTTGCTTCAAAATCCTCTCTACCACAGTTTTTTCTTCCACCTGACTTTCCACTAATGTTTCTAGATATGGCAGAATGTGAAAAGCCAGATTCTTTTCTTTGGGGGTAAATGACTCTTTCAATAACATTTATGTAATAAAAAGCATCTTTTATTGCTGTAATGTAATATAGTTTTACAATAAACTAAAGTGTAAAAACATATCACTTTGTGGGACGTTAATGTAAATACGTTTCACTTGAATTTGAATTACTGAAATAAATTAAGAAGTTATATCAAATGAAGTTTCAATGTATTCTGACTGACTGAAATCCAACTGTAAACTAATTGAAATATTCTGAACACTACTGCCACAAAACATCATAATTAATAGATCAGTGCTTTATGCGGCTCAAACAATCAGATATGTCACTGAAAAGGGAGTATAAAACCTCACAATGATGATTCATCCCACTGCTGGCGTGTGTTTGTACTCTGATGCTGTACGCATGTGAAACTACAAAAACGCCAACGATTCTAATAGACATACAATATTTCATGGTGCAGAGGCTGCAGCACATACACAGTTGGTGAAACTCACCCTTTCAGTGCTTTCAACCAATTGTAGTTGAAAGCCGCCAATGTTACCACCAGTGTAAACTACGCATGCGATAACTAATTCATATCATTTCTACCAATCTGAACTGTCAGAACTAAAGGATACAAGAAACAGGAAGCTGGAGGGGAAATGTCTTACCATGCCCCGCTCTCGTAAGAAAAGGCATCCTGTTGATCGCAATGGGGACGGTACCATGTTTATTGTGGAAGTGGTGGACATGGTGGGTGGTGCTCAAACTCGAAGAAACTCGCGCCGTACCGGTCTGGATTGGAAGCAAAGTAATCAAGGTGAACCAGAGTATTTGCCTCGAACAATAACTCAGACCCATGCTGAGACTGAACTGGGACCAGCTGCTCCTGTGTCCAAGCACGGGGGTGGCCGCAAAAAGTCTACCCATGTGTGCTAATTCCACGAAGGCCCAGGAGAGACAACGGGGCCGGGCTCTGGCCTGTGATCGTTCAGCCTGAAGACAGCAGGGCATCTCACTGAGAGGCTGGATCCATTTCTTTTCAGGATCCTTTGCTGGATTAGTCACTTAGTTTTGGCCTGGACTCTGGTAGAAAAATATCCTTTCCACTTGCACCCAAAAACAAAAAAAAAAGAAGAAATTTAAAAGAAACAATCCAAACCCAGAGCCACGCGCAAAGCTGTTTACTAAAACAGGAAAAAAAACCCTCAAAATTTCAAAATCTATCTGAAAAGCTTCCTTGAGAACATTCTTCCAAAACTGAGCTCCAGCATGCAGGAAGATGCAGATCCAAACAAAGCTTGGGGTTCAATCCAACAGCCATGTTGTCCAGTCATTATATTTAGGCATGAAAACTGGCAGGGCAGAGACTCATGTGATAAGAATTCTGATAAGAGCCTCCATCGCCCACAGGTAGAGCTTGAGGGCAGCTGAGCCTGCCCACTAAGAAGAAGAGAGCCCCTCCACCGCAGTAAAAGATGAAACACGTTTCCGTGGGAAAATGAATCATTTCATTAAGGAAATAAATAAATAAAAATAAATAAATCTCGAGCGGATAAAAATACGAGGGGTGCAGCTACAGAGGATGACGCTGGAGCCAGAGCTTTTGTTCCCTTTAACCGGGGAATGAAAAAAAAAAGAAAAAAGAATAGAGACAGGGAGGAGGAGGAAGAAGAGAAGGGAGGGGGGGTTAGAAAGCCAGGGAGCAGTATCTGCAGCAGCGCGGTAAAGTAGAAAATCCAGAAAATAAATAAATAATTTGTCAGCAGCTCCTCTTCCCCCCAGTCCTCTCAGTGGCGCCGCAGATCTGGCGAACCGCAACCTCTGGCGTGCTCAGAGATCCATCAGAATGCAGCTACAGCAGCCTCTGCTTCAGACGGACGTAGGCTCCATCTCTCACGCTCCACCTGCTCAGACTCATGCAGCAACAACTACTGCTGCATTCCCCTCGCTGCCGCTGCTGCTCCTTTCCCCCCCTCCTTCGTTTCTTCCCTTTATCCTCTCCGGTTACCTTGTCCAGATCCGCTAGCTTCTGATGGAGGACATTTAAGTGGCGGCGTCTGGTCCCCGGAGGAGGGCAGGTGATGCTCGACTTGCTGCAGAAAGGTTTATGCTAATTAAAATTAAAGACTGTGATCAATCACAGGAATGACTGAGATTCCAGGACAGCCCAGATTCCCGGTGAGGACGATATCCTCGCCTTGGACTGGAGGCGAGCTAAAGGAGCTCTTCTGAAGGCATATCAGGGTGCTCTGATCCAGCGAGGCACAGCATGTGCCTCTGTGTATGTTTGTGTGTGTGTGTGCGTCTGAGGAAGAGTCTGTGAGCAAATGAGAGAGGAGGGTGAGGGTGGGTGAGGGATAGCGGC